GTCAGCAGAGGCGGGTGCAGGGTGACAGGCCCAGACAACCCTGCAGGACGCAATCCTGGAGCCAGAGGGCCCTCCGAGATCATCCTGAGTGAGGACCGTCGACCACGGCCAGTGCACACGCCACAGGCAGATCCCCGAATAGGAACGGGCCTGGCTCCAAGTCTCACCGCGAGTTCGTAGCCAAGCTGAGCCCAGAACCTGGCCCCGATGCTTTCCCACGGTGCGCTGAGCCGAACAGAAGGGCAGGATTTAGCCGGAGAGAGGGAAGGAGGATGTTTTGTTTCAACCCAGACACAGACAGATTCCAAGCCTCCCCCAGACGAGGAGGCCGAGGGCCTTCGGTCCTGGCAGACAGGAGTCTGGCCGCCTGCTGTGCAGACATACTCTCAGGGAGCTAATCCCCGCTGCTGGCACCCCTTGCCTCTGGCCTCAGAGCCCAGACCATAGAGTGCCAGCAAAATGCCCTTGGGGTCAGCGGGGAGGGGAGCAGCCCGGGCCAGCCCTCCTGTTCCTCCCCCTGCCCCAAATGTGCACTCCTCCTTCCTGTCCCTTTATCTCTTCCCACAAGGCCTGTCTTAGTTGGGAATTTGGGGTCAACAAATGAATTGTAAGCAGGCAGTCTGCACCAAACCCAGGCTCCCTGAGCGCACGAGGCAGGCCGTGACCCTGAAGCCCTGAGGTAAGAGTTGGGCACTTCTACCCAGCTCAGGGTGTTGCGTTAGAGCTCTTACATGGTCAGGATGCCTCTAAGGAGGGCAATCAGGGCAGACTTCCTGGAGGGAGGGGGCTTGTGTTGAGCCCAGGGACTGGGTATGCTATGGAGTTCTGAAGGGTTAACCAAACAGCAAACAGCATGGGCAAAAATATGGATTAGGGAAAAGAATTCGGTCTGTTTGGAAAATAGACTCAGAATTGGCAACCCAGGTCACACGGGGAGTGGAAGGCAGATGGGACAGAGGAGGCGGCTCTGACGGGGGCTCAAGCCTGTTCCAGGCCCTCACCGGGACATGGCACACGTTGGCTGGAAGCCAGCACTCCGTGTACGGCAGGGAAGACATGTTGGGAGCTCCCGAGCAGGTCGTTTGTCCGTGGCCCTCCAGAGAGTTGTCCTCTGAGGCAGTCGTCAGGGACCCTCCAAAGGTCACTGCTGGGCCCGACGTCACCCTAGAAAGACTGTTGGCAGCTGGGCCACAGAGTGGAGACCAGCAAGGAGGGGCGGCCAGACCCTGGGGGGTCAGGGGAGCGAGCAGGGACTGTACCTCCCCACAGCAGGGGGCAGAAGAGGATCTTCGGGCCAAGGGGGCTGGGAGGACTGTGGTCGGGGCGGAGGTCGGGGTCCTGGCACGGCTCACTCTGGGTTTCGGCCAACCTGGCATGGTCTCCCTGCCCCCGCAGCACAGCCTACGCCCCGGAGGCCACCGACTACGACGTGCGGGTGCTGCTGCGGTTCCCCCAGCGTGTGAAGAACCAGGGCACGGCAGACTTCCTCCCCAACCGGCCACGCCACACCTGGGAATGGCACAGCTGCCACCAGTGAGTGCCGTGGGGCCGGGCACGAGTGTCGGGGGGCCTTGGCCAGAGCGGGGCTGGGAGAGGGCGCGAGCAGGACCAGGCTCGGGAGGGTCCGCCGTGTCTGGAGCCCAGGCCTCCACCGCGGCCAGGGCAGGCGAGCCCAGAGAGGACGTGGGGAGTCCTGGGAGCTGCTCTCCTGGGTGGCCTGGCCTGGTGGGACTCGGAGGACAGAAGAGCCAGATGATTAGGAGGCTGTGTCCCAGCTGGGTCCCCCAGCCCATTTCCCTGCCCCCACCCCAGACATTACCACAGCATGGACGAATTCAGCCACTACGACCTCCTGGACGCAGCCACAGGCAAGAAGGTGGCCGAGGGCCACAAGGCCAGCTTCTGCCTGGAGGATAGCACCTGTGACTTCGGCAACCTCAAGCGCTACGCGTGCACCTCGCACACGCAGGTGGGGCCAAGGGGCTGGGCAGGGCCGGAGCGCAGCCAGCCCGGGCCGTCGGAGAGGGAGGTAGAGGGCCAGCCGAGGGTGGTGGGTGCCAGGGCCCTGGGTCAGAGCCTGGTCCTCTGGCCACCACCTCCAGCCCAGGCCTGTTGGCTGGATGGAGACAGGAACCTCGCAGCCAAGTCCGGGTGGCTTGGTGTCCCACGTCCATCCTTCCGTTCAGTCCATCTGCCCAGGTCCCTCCTCCCATCTGTCCTCACACCCTCAAACCGTCCGTCCTTCCCACCTGTCTCTCTCTCTACGTGTGTCCACCTGTCTCTCCTGTGCACGCCTCCCAAGTGCCTCTGACTGTCTCTGTCATCTCCCCATCCCTCCACCCGGGGCCCCAAGGAAGGTGGACCCACTCCCTGAGCAGCCAGCCTGGGTGGGGCAAGGGAGGAGCACAGAGCAAGCCCCAGGAGGAGGCCGGGGGCCCTGAGGGTTGAGCTTCCGCAGCCTCCTCCTGTCCTGCGCCTCCTTAGGGCCTGAGCCCCGGCTGCTACGACACCTACAACGCGGACATTGACTGCCAGTGGATCGACATAACCGATGTGCAGCCTGGGAACTACATCCTCAAGGTGGGCAGCCTGGTGGAGGCGCCAGCTGGAGGGCACCCAAGGCTTGGGGCCAGGCAGACACAGCCTCTCGCTCCATAAAGACCCCGAGGGGCCTCGGCCCCAGCTCTGGTGATGCCAGACAGGCTCTGGCTCTGGGCTCCCTTCCTTTGATTTGCTTTTGCTTTTATTTTTCGATGGCCAGAGGGCATGTTTACTCACCAGAGAGAGAGATAAAGAGACTAAAGGGACAGAGCCAGCTGATGTGATGATGGGGTGGCTGGATCCTATGTGGCCGACTGCAATTTGAGTCCTGGATCCACTGGCTTGGGAAACATACGAGGCACATGTGTATGTGTGCCCACAGTTCCAACAGGAAGGAGAGATGAAGGGACTGCGGCAGGCCATCCCCCGGCGGCAGGCCGTCCCCGGCAGCTTTCTCGCTGTCCCTGTCTCCCTCACACATGTCCTATTGCAAAGACAGAAAACAAAGCACCCCCGGCGGGGTGTGTCCACACCACAGTCCCTTCCCATCCCGTCGGGATTTCGGGCACACACACATGCGCACCCAGCGTGTTTAGCCACGCCTCCAGAGCAGTCTTGAACTACAGCCAGGCTGCCCGTCTGATGAGGCTGAGCAGAATGTTTCCTCGGATGACCGGCGCGCTCTCTCCTCCCCGACTCTGTCAGTGCATCTCGGTCTCCCGCGGTCTGTCTCCATCTCCCTGCCTGCCTCTCCCCCATCCTCTGGTGACCAGGTGAAGAGCAGCCCCTGCTAGAGCCCACTGCCCGTGTCCCGCAGGTGCACGTGAACCCCAAGTACATCGTGATGGAGTCCGACTTCACCAACAATGTGGTCCGGTGCAGCATCCACTACACCGGCCGCTATGTCTCCACCACAAACTGCAAGATCGTCCAGTAAGCCCGCCCCGGCCGCTGCTGCACCTCCCTCTGCCTGGTCCTTTCCTGCCACCCGGAAGACCGAGGACACCTGACAGCGAGCACAGCCTGGCCTGGGCCAGCCCCACCCAAGCACTCACGGGGCTCGGGCTGCAGGGTGCTATTCGGGGCGTGGTGGCGCGGCTCCCTGGGGTTTCCCAGTGCAGGCCACGCAGAGGCAGAGTCGTCTGGCCCAGCGCGTGGGCACGGCAGTCCTGCTTCTGTGCCTGCCTGGCCTGTGATGTCGGGCCCGTCGCCTCCCCTCCCATGGCACCAGGTGCTCCCCCGGGCCCTACAAGGGTTTATGCCCACGTGTGCACAGTCCCGACGCCTGTCTTCACCAGTCCCGGATCAGAAGTGACTGTGGGTGGGGTGTGCTGTCCTCAGGCCCGGTTCCCTCTGTGGAGCAAGCAAACACAGTCTGGGCACATGCTGTGGGCAGAGTCCCCAGCTGCCCTGGCACAGCCTGGCCAGCCTCAGTCTCCTGACTCCCCACATGAAGTGTCATGCAGGACACCCGCTTCCATGCTCACACGGAGCCCCTCCCCATGCCACGTGAGGGAAACGTGCTCGAGTAGAACAGAGCAGCTCCTCTGGTCCTTAAAGAGCAGTCCTCGTGCTATAAGCTCCCGCACAGACTCCAAAGCGCAGGGCAGATCTTTCCCAAAGTGCATGCTTACTAACGGAGGCAGGGGTGGGAGGCTAAGCCAGGGACCAGGGGCACTGACCATAGGCCATAGTCGGGCTCAGTCAGAGTCAGCCCTTTGCCCTGGCTGCTACTGCTGACCCAGCCGTGCACAACCCTCCCCCACCGTGATAGTGGCAGTGGGGACACGGCCTCCACCGCAGGACAGAGATCAGGTCACTCAGCGAGAGCTGGACGGGAAGTACCCAGGAAACAGGGCATGTTGGAAAGCCCACCCCCTGCCCAGCCCTGGTAGCTCAGCTCTTGCAGGCTGTGTGTCCAGCACCTCCCTGCTCCTAGGGCCTGTTTCCAGCAGGGCCCAGGGCCAACAGATGGCGTAATGGTTACGTCACTGGACTCCCACGTAGTCGACCGCATTTCGAGTCCTAGACCCGGCGGCTTGAAACACACCGGGCACGTGTCTGTGCCCCCAAAGTCCTAAGAGGGGAATGGAGAAGGGATTGCAGTGTGGCCATTTCCCCCCGGGGTGGGGGGTGATTTCTCACTTTCTATCTCTCCGCCTAGCGCATGTACTCATAGCAAAAATCTCTCTTTTAAAAAAAAGGGAGAGAAAATTCAGGGGCTGGCCAGGCCACAGAGGCTTCCTAGGAAGTAGCTAGGGAAGAAGGAGGCAGGGAGGAGGGACACACAGGTAGGAGGACGCTGCGGGTAGGGTGGCGAGAGCCTGCAGCCCCCGCCCCGCCTGCTGCTGGCGAGGGAGGGCCGCCAAGCAGCACCTCAGGGCCTGGCCGCACCCTAAGCATGGAGGCCGGCAGCAGGCAGAGAAGCAGCTCCAGCCCTCAGCTCCCCCAGTGCCTGCAGGCAGAGGGAGGCCATGGCCCTTCCTTCCGAGAGCTCTTTACATAAGTGCCTGGGAAGGCCCGGTCTCCGCCTCCTTAGTGTGCCGCCATTGTGACCCTGACCGCAGGCAGGCGGCTGGGCCAGTGCGCTCAGGAAGCCAGACGGAGCATTCCCAGCGGGGCCACGGGACTGACGCCTGTGGGTTCCCATCGTGTTTCTGAAAAGGAAAAGGGCGGCTTTTTTAAAAAAGGACAGAGTTAGGAAAAACACCAAGGAAAGCACTTCCAGACGGTAGCGGCTCCCCCGATGGCTTAGAAAACGGGCTCAGGGCATGGAGGGGGACGCCGAGGCTGTGGCGGGGAGGAGGGGGCTGAGAACACCCCCTCTGGAGCTGGGGCCCTTCCTTGGAGCCCAATTCTTGAGGGAAATGGAGGCCCGAGCTGGGGAGGCTGCAAGGCCTCCGTGTAGCCGCCATTGACCTGTGTCTTTTGCTCTGTAGGTCCTGATCTCAAGAGGGACAGATGCCACCCGTGCCCTCCAGAGCAGGCCCGCTGCCCAGACAGCCTGCCCCCAAGGCCAGCCCCCAGCCACAGGCCAGGGCGGCTGAACGCCAGGCACCCTCCCTGCCGGCCTCAGGGAGCGAACGTGGACCGAAACCACAGGGATTCCGGATGCCGGCCCGTTTTGTACTTAGCTTCTCTCTGCAGTGTTCGTGGGCTGTTGGTTTTGTTTTCACGTTGGGGCCGTACCACAGAGCAGACTGCTCAGGTCCGGGCTGAATAAAACAAGGGTTTTCTACTCTGCGGTTTGTATGTGGCCTGCCGGCCAGGCTTGGCCCCGCTGGGCGGGCTCAGGGCCATTCTCCATTTCATCCTTTCCCGGCAGCGCATGCAAAGGGAGGGTAGAGGACACGCTGAGACAGCAGTGCCCTCGAGGGTGGCAGGCCGTCCAGAAGCTCCATGGAGCTTAGCCGAGGCTAAGGACGCTGCCTGGGAAGGGACCCTGTCACTGTGGGTGAGGTGCAGCAGGGGGGCTGGGACGGGCGGCCGCAGGCCTCTTGACCCCTCCCTGCTCAGCCTGCACCCCACGTTTCCACCTGCCGGCCAGGGACCTGCCCCCGGCTCTGGCATGCTGTCACTCCTGCCACCAGCCATGTCGTCCCTCACAGCTGAGTGACTGCTGCGTGCCAGGTGGGCGCTGGGCCCACACAGAGAATCCTACCCCACTCTCAGGAGCTCACAGGCCCCGGGATCCCAGTGCCCCTGCCCGGGAGACAGCACTGGGGGGTCAGGGAACCTTCCTGGGGCTCCTGTCAGGAAGGAGGGGAGAGGAGAGTTCTTGGCAGAGGGGACGGTCTCCCAGCGAAGGTAGTGCTGTGGCCTGGGGGTGGGGAGGCCACGCTGCAGCCCTCACCTGCCTGACTGCGCCATCTCCGGGGTCCAGACGCCAGGCCAGGCCAGGCCAGGGAGGAGCAGGAGGACGCAGCCTCCATCCCGAGGGAGTGAAGTGCTGAGGAAGGGGAGGGACTCGGGCCAGCACCGGGCTCTGGCTTCCAGGGCCAGCTCTCCTGCTCACTGGCTGGGACGCCAGGCAAGTCATGCGGCACCTCGGGCCTCAGTTTCCCCATCCCTAAAACGGGAACAAGCCCAGGCCTGGCTCAGTGACACGGAGACGTGGAGAGCCAGGGAAATGCTGAGTCTCGGGGGGGTCCTGCAGATGGCCAAGGACCCCAGCCACTGGGCACCCAGAGACTCTCTAAGGCAGATGCCCCATGCTAGCCTCACCTGCAGCAACCAGGGCTGATGGGGTGGTGCTATGCTGCATTTCCAGAAGGGAGCCCTGGAGCTTCCCACTAACCCGGGAAATGGGGACCACCCGGTCCCCTCCCTTCTACCATCACCAGCCAGGCCCTGCCAGGGTCCACCTCTGCTGGCTGTGTCTGGGGCCTGGCAGGAGCCTGAGGGGGTGCAGTGGTCTAAGGTCACCGCGCTCCTGCTCCCCTGCGTGCTCATTCTAGCCCACCCCCCCTCTCCTCATCAGACGTCCCCAGGAGTGGGCAGGAGAAGGGTCGCTCAGCTCCACACTGTTGAGAGACCCTAGCAGGCAGTATCGAGTCCCCATTCCCAGGGCAGAAAATGGGCTTGGATAAGCACAGGTCACCACGGTGGGCATGCCATGGAACCCCTGTCCCTGAGCCCGGCCAGGCCGAGCGTGTGCGGTGCTCTGAGGAGCGGGTCTGTACCTCCTGCAGAGCTCATGTGGGTCAGGCCCAGAAATCTGGGAGGGAGGAGGGGGACAGGTGGCTTTTCCAAAAAGCAGCGCAGGACAGGCTGGGGAGTTCACTGGCCTGGGAGCTCCCAGACAGGTCTGATAACTATGGAATGGAAGGGGCTGGTCCCCACTGGCGGGTGGCAAGGGGTGGCTCAGGGGTCCCACGGGCTCCATAGTGACGGTAGTTCCCACTTCCCCGGCCTGTTCCTTCCAAGCAAGGCTGCAACACCCCAGCCCTCCAGCCTGGGCAGGGGGACCTGCTTCCCAGCTGCACCAGCCACCTCATCCCTTTCATGGTCCAGGCCCCGGGATGGACACACCCAGCCTGAGCCCCTGCTGGTCACCACAGGGATGGCCTTGCCCATCGGCTGCCCCGGCCACACACCAGC